TGTTCTCCCCTGTATTTCCAGTACATCCGACACCATACAGAGTTTTTACAACATTATTGACTATATTTCCTATGCTGTACTTTATATCCCCATGACTATTTTGTAACTTCCAATTTCTACTTCTTAATCCCTTCACCTTTTTCACCCAGCCCCCCAACTCCCTCTATATTTGGTGAAATATAGCAACCCAAAATATTTTGGTTTGTTTCATCTAAATTTTGTAGCATAGTGCTTAGGGAGGCATATCCATGTTAATTTTCCCAGACTTTAGAAGTCTATCGTTGAGTATCAGAACCTAATGTTTATTCAAATTACTTTATATATTGTTCATATCCTCCCTTCCCCTAGGAATTACCTTTCTTAAATACACCTAAGAAGTCTGACCGAGTAATATACTGAGCTAAGGTATTGACTATACACTAAATCAAGAAACCTGGAATAATTAAAATCTGTCAGGTTTATTCAAACTTTTGCCTCCTGCACATCTCCCACTGGGGCTGGGCCTGCAACCCAGGTACATGCCCTTGACCGGAATCGAACCTGGGACCTCTCAGTCCGCAGGCCGACGCTCTATCCACTGAGCCAAACCGGTTTCGGCCCATCTAGCTTTTAAGGATATATAGACTCCCTGTATATCCAAGGACATATCCTATATAATAAAACCCTAGTAGGCAAATTGACCGAACAGCAGACCAACCAGTCACTATGACACGCACTGACCACCAGGGAGCAGATGCTCAATGCAGGAGCTGCCCCCTGGTGGTCAGTGCACTCCCACAGGGGGAGTGCTGCTCAGCCAGAAGCCGGGTTCACAGCTGGCGAGTGCAGCAGAGGTGGCAGGAGCCTCTCTCACCTCCACAGCAGTGCTAAGGATCCCCTCGGGGGTCCCAGACTGTGAGAAGGCGCAGGCCGCGCTGAGGGACTCCCTCCCCAGTGCACGAATGTCGTGCACCGCGTCTCTAGTAAACATATAATAACACCATCTGTTTAATGTAACACAACTTAAATTTACAGAGTATTTTAAGCAAATGTCTTAGTTGGTCTTTATAAGAATTCTGCTGAGTTTTAGTATTCTTGTATTTTATAATAAAACAGCTTAGAGAAGTTCAGTAACTCCACATGAAGGATATAGAATTGAAATCGAGGGTTCTGTCTCAAATTTCTTTCCACTAAACCATGATGCCTCTTATATTTTTGTAAATTGAATACAGTAGGTCCTTGGGTTACGTTGGAGATCTGTTCCTATGGACGTAGCGCAGTCGGAACCCACCTACTTTAGCACCTACGTCACTCACATGGGGCACATACACAGCTGTAATGAAGTGAAACAGTAAAAAATTTAAAAGAAAGATAACAATTCCTGACCTTTACTTGTGGTAAATAAATAGTAAAAAACATAAAGCACATATGTACGTACGTTGAAATGACAGAACTTTTTTTTTTTATTTAATATAAATAGATGGGAGGTGGCGACGTAACCACGAAACGACGTATGTTGAGTCCGACGTAACCCGAGGACTGTCTGTAGTGTATCTGGAGTATAGTGTTAAGAGACTTGGGTTGCATCCTGGCTTTACCAATTACTATCTCTGTGATATTGGGCAGGTTACTTAGCCTCTCTTAACCTCATTTTTCTTATATACAAAATGGGAATAATAATACCCACATGCTCAAATATTTTGCAAATGCAAAGCACTTATGATTACATCTGGCAGAGTTAAGTGCTCAGTACATGTTAATGCTGCTGCTGTTTGGATTTCAGTATTAACTCGCCCCACACTTAGTTTTTATTGTTCTCTAGCAGGAACGTTTTACTCTGCAACTCAAAGTCTTTTCTCTGATTCTTAAGAATATCATGTAAATTCTTGCTTCTTGTTTTTTTGCTGTTTCTCTAACTGAATCTTTTTGGCTCATAGATGTTTTTCAGTGTATACCTTTCTTCTTTCTGTCCACATCTCTCTCTTTTTTAATATATTTTTATTGATTTTCTACAGAGAGGAAGGGAGAGAGATAGAGAGTTAGAAACATCGATGAGAGAGAAACATCGATCAGCTGCCTCCTGCACATCTCCCACTGGGGATGTGCCCGCAACCCAGGTACACGCCCTTGACCGGAATCGAACCTGGGACCTTTCAGTCCGCAGGCCGACGCTCTATCCACTGAGCCAAACCGGTTTCGGCCACATCTCTCTTTCTTAATAATACCTATCCTTTCTATTTGACCACACATATCCTTTGTCCAAAAATCTGCCTTGATGTTCCATCTCCATATCTATGCATATCTTAGTCCTCATGCTTAAAATGCCTTTCTCCTCCTCATCCCAAGTTGAAACTTTTAAACTAAACTCAAATGCTCCTTCCTAGGTGAAACCTTGCTTAACTGTCCCTCATAAACAGAAAATTTTCTCTCTCTCTTTTTATAAAATACTTCTATTTATTTACTTATTTACTTACTTACTTACTTATTTATTTATTTTTATTGATTTCAGAGAGGAAGGGAGAGGGAGAGATAGAAGCATCAGTGATGAGAGAGAATCATTGATCAGCTGCCTTCTACTGGGGATCGAGCCCACAACCTTGACTTGTGCCCTTGTCCGGAATTGAATCGAACTGGGACCTTTCAGTCTGTAGGCCAAAGGTTCTCTCTCTTTTTAAAAAATATATTTTTATTGATTTCAGAATGGGGGAGAAGGATAGAAACATCAATGATCAGAATCATTGTTCGGCTACCTCCTGCACACCCCCTCCTGGGGATGGAGCCCACAACCCAAGCATATGCCCTGACCAGGAATCAAATCGTGATCTTCTGGTTCATAGGTAGACACTCAACCACTGACCTACACCAGCCGGGCTCTCTATTTTTTCTATATCCCAACACCTACCACAGAATCCAGAATATAAATGACATAGAATAATTGTTTGTTACAGGAATAAATGACTTCTGCTTTTGTCTCATGTGATATTAATACTTGGGACTATAAAACTTAGCACGTTTTGGATGGTATAACTAAAAAAATCACTTAATTTAGAGCCAGAATACTTCAGTTAAAGTCCCAACTCTTTTAGAAGCTATGTGATATTGGGCAAGTTACACTGCTTCTATAAGCTATAAGTGTCTATTTTGTCACATACTAGTATAAAATGAAAAGTACACCACTTACAAGAATATTGTGGGAATTAAAGTCTAGTATAGAAGTCTTTAAGGCAATCTTATGAATTTATTTTGTATCAGACAAATAGTAATTCTTTGCCTAGTTTCTGTCCACAGACCATCAGCATTGGCTCAACCTGGATGCTTAGTAATGCAGAATCTGCCTTCTGCATAATTTGCGTTTGAACAAGATCCTTCAGTGATTTATGTGCACATTAAAGCTTGAGCCCTAACTGGTTTGGCTCAGTAGATAGAGCATCAGCCTGCGGACTGAAGGATCCCAGGTTCGATTCTGGCCAAGGGCATGTACCTTGGTTGCGGGCACATCCCCAGTAGGAGGTGTGCAGGAGGCAGCTGATCAATGTTTCTCTCTCATCGATGTTTCTAACTCTCTATCCCTCTCCCTTCCCCTCTGTATAAAAAAAATCAACAAAATATATTTTTTTAAAAATAAAGCTTGAGAAGCACTGATTTAGAATGTTATGAAAGATCAGAAGAGGATGAATTTTATTTTAGCTAGAAGATCAGGGATAATTTGATGGAGGTGATATTTTGCAAACTCTGAAGGATAGATAATGTTTTGTATATGTAGGATAGAGAGAATACCTTCATGTGCAAAGGGGCTGCATGTGAGGAAGTCCTGACTACAAGAAATGGTCTACTAGATTTTAAAAATATCATTGTACATAATAAATGTGGTAAAGGTATGGTTGAATGGAGAAAGTAGTTAAATGTGTAGGAAGGGTTCTAGGAAGTCTTCAGGGTCAGGTGAAGTATATGTTGAAGGATTAGTAGGAATTTTGCAGATTAAAAAGATGGAAGAGCATTCACTTAAGAACTACGAAGTAAAATAATTAGTGGAGGCAATTCCTGTAGCTTATACTTGTGAGTCCACAGAGACCTAAAACAATGCTGATTTAGACCATGAACTCTTTGGAGTTAGAAACTGTGCTTTATTCCCAGTATCATCATACCCAATGCCTACCACAAAGCCTGGCACTTATCAGGAACTCAGTAGTTTGATGAATGAATGAGTACATGATACTTCTCGATTAAGATAAAGGTGTTGTGGGGGTGGGAGTTGGGAGGAGAAGGGAAAAGAAGGGTATCTGTAATACTTTGAACAATAAAGATAAATTTTTAAAAAAGATAAAGGTGGTGTGCTACTGGAACTGGTACCCTGATCTTGGACTTCCAGCCTCCAGAACTATGAGAAATAAATTTCTATTGATTATAAGTTATCTAGTCTGAGGTATTTTGTTGTAGCAGCCTGAATAGACTAAGGCACTCCTGTGTAAAAATGATAGTATCTACAACTCATAGTACATTATTGTGATCAGTAAGTTGTAGACATAATAAATAATTATTGTTTTGAGTAAATGATAATTTTTTTGTTTATTTGTTAAGGTGATCAAACATCTAGCCTACTCTTGTATGAAGTTCCCTCTCTCCAGAAAGGATATCACCTCTAATACAAGTTAGTAGTATAGATAGAAGAATCTTTAGTTTTTTCTTTAAAAAAATTCCCTACTTTATTTGATCTTGGACTTCCATAAAAATATATTTTTTTATTGATTTTTCACAGAGAGGAAGGGAGAGAGATAGAGAGTCAGAAACATCGATGAGAGAGAAACATCGATCAGCCGCCTCCTGCACATCTCCCAGTGGGGATGTGCCCGCAACCCAGATACAAGCCCTTGACCGGAATCGAACCTGGGACCTTTCAGTCTGCAGGCCGACGCTCTATCCACTGAGCCAAACCGGTTTCGGCGCCCTACTTTATTTTTTAAAAATTATATCCTTGTAGGTATTATCACAAATATCATCTATATGATATGCTAATGAATTACAATATATGGTATTTAATGGGTGCAAGAACAATTTTTCTTTCCTACTTGAAAATTGAAAATGACTTTTTAGCCAACCTTTCTTGGGGAGAAAAAGGTAATTAAGCAAGGTTTATCATTTTAAAAAATTAATCTATTTTCATAAATTTTAAACTCAAAGGATTACACAAATCTATAAATGGGATAAAATTGCATAAAACTACATGCACATGCAAATAAATACATATAAAACTGGTAAAATCTGAGGGTCTGTTAGTGTCCTAGTTTTGATCTATATATATAAAAGCCTAAGTGACCGTTAACGACCAAACAACTGGAATGACCAGTCACTATGACGCACACTGACCATCAGGGGGTACACGCTCAATGCAGGAGCTGCCCCCTGGTGGTCAGTGTGCTCCCACAGCCAACCTCCCATGGCTTCTCCCCCTAGCCGGCCAACCTCCTGCAGCCACTCACCCCTGGGCCAGCCAGCCAACCTCCTGCGTCTCTCTCCCCCATTCCCCCCCCACCGGCCAACCTCCTGCAGTCCATTGCACTGGCTGGCCGGCCTCCTGATGGCCCCGATCAGGGGGCCGGCCAACCTCCTGCGGTCCCTCCTCCTAGCTGGCTGGACCCCCAACAGGCTGGCTAACCTCCCGGGGTCCCTTGGGACCCCACACATGCACGAATTCATGCACTGGGCCTCTAGTAGTTACATAAGAAGCCTGGACCCCAGGCTTCCCTCCGGCTGCCTGCACCACCTGGTCTTCCCTCGCAGCCCCAGCTTCGTCCAGAAGGTTGTTCGGGAGGACGTCCAGTCTAATTAGCATATTAAGCTTTTATTATTATGGATACTACACTTGACCGAGTTCTTTCTTATCTTTCAAAGTGAAGTTCTCAGGCTGAATAGAAAATTCAGAGAAAGGATCCCTCACCTATTCATACACTTGAATTGAAAGGGAGAGAAAATTACTGTTAAATTTTGTTTTGCAGTTTTCCCAGGTGACTTTCAATAAAACTTGAAATTTCCTCATTCTGAGCCCAAACAGCAGTGGAAACATTTTTCAGGTTTCCCTTTGCAATAGATTTTTTTCAAAGAATATTTCCTCTTAAATCCACATTTTTATTATCTTTACACATTTTCTAGAAAATAACAGAATATTTTACATAGTGTAATAAGAAAGAACTAATTTACAATTAGTGTTTTAGCCCCGCCAGTTGAGCTAACCGACCCATGAACCAGGAGGTCATGGTTAAATTCCTGGTCAGGGCACATGCCCAGGTTGTGGGCTCGATCCTTAATAGGGGGCATGCAGGAGGCAGCCGATCCATTGATGTTTCTATCCCTCCCTCCCTCTCCCCTCCTCTCTCTGAAATTAAAAAAAGGAAAAAAAAAGAATAAAATAGTGTTTTAAAATTCTGAATACCTATCCTAGAGTTAGGAACCAAGCTAGCTGTTTCTTACTCTGGTTTAATTTAAGACAGCTGTGCTCTTGAAGTGATTTGGACTCTTTCTTTCCTTTGTTTTTTAATGCTATTCGTGTTTTAGTTTGCTAACATGTTAGGCTAACTACCAATTTTTAGACTTTTCTGTTGTTTTGTTCTCACACTGATTGTGTCTTGGTGGTACTGGGGGATGTGTCAAACTGCTGTTGCTGGCATTCCTACAGATATATCCATGATATTTTCCCACTTTGCATGGAATGGAAAATATTACAGGATTATAAGCTAAAGGTGCCTTTTTGAGATTCTGGCATCCATGCTATGACAAATTGCTAAACATATACAATTCTTTATTACAGCATTCCTTCACACTATAATTTATACATCCTTTTTTGGTTTAGATTAAGTGTAGCCCTTTCTACAGGGCAGGAAACAGTTGTTAAGATCCTTTCCTGCCTCATAATTCCAAAACCTTTAATGTCACTGCTGTACTAATGACTTCCTGATCTAAATCTTCCTCTTGTTAAGTCAAGAAAAACATTTCTTGTATCTAATGGAATGGAATTTTAGTTAAATTTTAACTCATTTTCTTTTTTTCTTTTTTTTTTTTTTTAATTTTTTTTTTTTTTTTTAATATTTTTTATTGATTTTTTACAGAGAGGAAAGGAGAGAGACAGAGAGTTAGAAACATCGATGAGAGAGAAACATCGATCAGCTGCCTCCTGCACACTCCCCACTGGGGATGTGCCCGCAACCCAGGTACATGCCCTTGACCGGAATCGAACCTGGGACCCTTCAGTCCGCAGGCCAACGCTCTATCCACTGAGCCAAACCGGTTTCGGCTAGTTTCACTTTTGAAGTAGTTGTTCGAGGCAGCAAACTCCGGCGTTAACCTATGCCGCCATCTTGGTTCTCCCAAATTTTAACTCATTTTCAACTGAGATTAAGACAAGCAGAAAGTAATTTTGAGAGAATATTTTTTAATTACAAGATTCTATGGTGGCATCTACAAGAACTAATTTTAAACTTTAGGGAGGGACAGTAAATTCAAAAGTACTTATATTTTATCTCTAACTGAGTAAACTGTATTATAAAACCTTTTTAGAATCATACAGTGTTAAATCTGGAAAGGAATAGGAAACTGGAGACCAGAGGACTGTAATGATTTGCTGTAATTAGTAGCTAAGCTAGGATTTAGCTTCATTTTATTATAATTAAATGTTTGCAGGAGTTCTCACAACCAGACTAGGTTATGACTCATAATTGATCCACTCTTTGAAGTTTTAGCCAAAATTATAATGGCTTTTCACAAAAGCTAACCTAAATCTGTCTGTGGTCTCCAGAGAAGGCATGTCTATGTTAAGAATGTTTTGGGTTGCCTGGCTGGTGTAACTCAGTGGTTGAGGTCCCTGGTTTGATTCCTGATTGGGGCACATGCTTGGGTTGCAGCCTTGAACCCCTATAAGGGGAGTGAATGATGTTTATTCTCTCTATCCTTACTCCTTCCTCCCTCTCTAAAAAATCAATAAAAACATGTGTTTTTTTAAAAAAAAATGTTTTGGGTTGCTGTTGCCAAAATTATTTTCTAAAGTACCACTCCAGTTATGTGGCTTCTAGTTAACAACAGTGATGGTTGTTTACTAGTGCATATTGCCTGGTCCTACAGATGTCTTTTTTCTTAACTCCCGTATGACCTCAAGCAAGTCCTTTACTCTCCCCATTTTTTTTTTTACCAGAATATGTGATATTTGTACTTCTGTGATTATCTTAACCTCTAAGCTACTGTGCAGACTATGAATGGAATTTGTTTTGTAATCTGGGAAACTGAATCTCTTCACCTTTTTTAGAGGTGACCTAAAAAACCTTTTATTTTTGCCAAAACTAAAGATATAATTATATAAAGAGAAGAGTTAGCTGAAATAGCAGGGAACTCTTACTAGTTAGATTTATCCAGAACTAATCTTTGACGTATAAAGCACTTAACATAAATATTTGGTGATTTAAATGAAAGAACATATGAATAAATACATTAAAAAGTAGAGAAAAATTATCTGTACTTTTTCTTTAGGCAGTAAGTTATGTCTAAAGGTTTGTGTGTGTGTGTATATATATATATATATATATGTAATGGCTTTGAAAATAATTTATACAGTCACTTTGTTCTGTATAATGTACATAATAATGAAGGGAATGCAAGATGATATCATGTGATTTATTTTGTATGAATCTGCCATTTAAAATTTAAAGTGATTCTGAAAGCAACAAATGAACAAACAAGAAAAACTCATAGACACAGGCAGCAGTGTGGTAGTTACCAGAGGGAAGGTGGATTTGGAGATTGAATAGGATAAAGGGAGTAAAAAATATGGTAATGGAAGAAGATTTGATTTTAGGTGGTAGGCACACATTGCCATATAGACGTGACATAGAATTGTACACTTGAAACCTGTATAATTTTATTAACCAGTGTCACCCCAATAAATTTAATTTAAATAAGTAAATAAATAAGATCTGGCCAGTGTCTTCAATGGATAGAGCATAGGCCCATGTAGTCTCAGGTTTGATTCCTGGTCAAGGACACATACCTTGGTTGCAGGTTTGATTCCCAGTCCAGTTTGGGTGCATGCAGGAGGCAACGAATCAAGGTAATCTCTCTCACATCGATGTTTTTCTCTCTCGCTCTCTCTTCCTCCCTTGCACTCTAAAATCAATGGGAAAAATATATCCTTGGTCAGGATTAACCAAAAATAAATAAATAAAAGCATTGAAAAAAAATTTTTTAACTTAACTGTTATTAAGTGTAGATCAAGCATGTCAAACTCAAAGGCTAACACAGGCCAAATAAACACAAGTTTGACATGCTTGGTGTAAATTCTGGTACCAGTCCAGCTAATTAGCTATGCGACTTTTTTCGTCTTTCATTTTCTTGTTGTAAAATAAAAGATGATATTTAGATACCATTAAAATATGAAAAGGGTATGTAATAGTAGGTCTTCAAATGCTAATTATGTTAGTTGAATTTATGCTTATATTATAAATTCACACATTATTCCTTGGTTTATAATTTTGTCCTCTTTTCTCCTAAGACCTCAGTGGTTCAATAGCAGCCCCAGATGTCAAATTAAACCTTGGGGGAGATTTTATTAAAGAATCTACAGCCACTACATTTCTGAGACAAAGAGGATATGGATGGCTTTTGGAAGTTGAAGATGATGATCCAGAAGATAACAAGCCACTCTTGTATGTAAAAATAATACATACTCTTTTATTTTTAAAGTTAGTTTGTGGAATGATTATAGTCTTTTATTATTATTTAAAGATAAGTATGGAAAATCTTAACCTTTTTTGTCAAAAAATTTGGCTATTTTCAGTTTATTAGTGATCATTAAAACTGAGGAATTAATATTTTTAATCTATTAAATTGCAGAAATTGAAGGTTGCATGTTTGAGTCTGGTCAGGGCTCATACCTAGGTCACGGGTTTGGTCCCGGGTCGGTGCATAAAGGAGGCAGCCAATCAGTGTTTCTCTCAACATCGATGTCTTTTTCTCTTTCTCTCTTCCTCTCTGTCTCTCTCTTTCTCTGTGGTTTATGTCTTTCTCTCTGATATCAATAACTTCAGGTGAGGATGTAAATAAATAAATATTGCAAAAAGTAAAAGAATCATAATCCTCTCTTACACACACACACACACACACACACACACACTTTAAACTGTTAGGTCTTACCTGGGTATAGCTATC